CAACATTCAAGTTTTGTTACTTGAACCGTTGGAAATACAAAAAAAAAGTTCTTCATATTGTAGTCACGCGGGCTTGAAGTGTTACAAAGCATTAGACTGTTAACATATAACAAACAAATTACCGATGTCGCCGAATCATATTCAGTCGATTTGGCTTTCTTACCCAATAGAAGTCGCCATCATATTACCTCCTTTGCGCTAGTCGGTTATGTTGACTTGACATATGATAAAACAGAAGAGACGATGTCACGTTTATTTTATTACGCTACTGCCAATGGTGACGCGTTTCCCCCCGCTCTTATAACCTCTTCTTTATCTATTTCCGTCGCGTGCTTCTTTAATGCAAAGTTCTCTCTTATTTTTTACCCTTAATAAAACGCAGTGTTTTGTGCGTGATAATACAGTGAAGAATCAGAACGGTATGAGGTACTTCAACCACGGAATAGATGATTAGTTAAAACATACAGAGCAATATTACAGAGCTAATCTACTTCCACGTGAACACATAAATAAATACTTAATAAAACAATGTGTAATCCTAAATCCCTTAGTCGTGAAAGGGTGGGTTCTCAAGGATGGAAACAATAAGAACGCCAGGAATAATCTAATTCTGTCTGGCGCTGAAGATCGAAAACTCGCTATTCCCGCTTCAAGAATAGCTACTACGAAGCGGATTACCTACCAAGTTCGTAGCTTTGGACCTAAAAAGACTCACGAAATTCAAATTACTAAAATAAGCCAATATACAGAAAAGAAACCAAAACTTTGTTTAAATTATTTTTATAATAATAAATAATATTTATTCAGAAGGAAACCCCAAAAAAGAACAGCATAGATATAACAATAATAAATTACTTATAACAATAACATGTTTAAGGTGTGCATTACACATAAAGAACATGTTATACAATATTAAATTAAATAAATATAATAACTCACAATAATACATTACCGTTTATACCTATAACATACTCTTAATAAACAAATTGTAGGTATTTGTAAATAATATTCGCTGCACTCTGTCCTTCGCCAAAGGCGAATCAAAAATAGGTGGCTGACTCAAAATAAATCTTTAAGTAATACACACTTGAAATTAATAAACATGGACATACAATTGAACCTGCAATGATAAAGGGGGTGATAACAAGTTTGACTAACTCGCAACCTGTTAGTTCGTGTCTTTAATTCGGACTCAAAGGTATTACTGCGTCGTATAATTACGGAAGCGCTGGAGGACCTACAAACTTTTTTTTTATCTCGACTGGTCGACTTTGTATCTCGACCGATCGACTATTTATCTCGACCGGTCGACTTTTTATCTCGACCGGTCAACTTTTTATCTCGACTGGTCGAGTTTTTATCTCGCCCAGTCGACTTTTTTCTCGATCGATCGACTTTTTATCTCGACCGGTCGACTTTTTTTCTCGACCGGTTCACTTTTTATTGTTTTCGTGTATTTTGATCTTTTAAGGTGTTGTTTTTTAGCAAAGAAAAACGCTTTAGCAGTCTAAAGTCGACCGGTCGAGATAGAAACTCGAAACGTTAGATTTTCGTTTGTTCCAAGTGGCTATGTATCAAATTTCATTTAAATGCTTCCATAATTTAAAAAGTTGGCACTGCGCATACGCAAAACCAAATTTTGGAACTGGCGTTTGATTTTCCTTTATGCCTATGTATCAAATTTCACCTAATTACTTTTATAAATAGGTACAAAAGTTTACAATTCGTTTATAAATGGTCGAGATGCGAAAATGGCACTGTGAATTTTGAATCGATTCGACTCAACTTTTGGCATTGCGTATTATATGGCTAAAGCTATGCCCATATTGAATTTCATGCAATTCAGTTCATAACTAACGGAAATGTCAAAGCGATCGGACATTTCTAAACAAAGTTATAGTAGAGACGGACAGATACATAGACAGAGAGACAAAGGAACAAACGGACAGACCAACAGACAGACGACAGACAGTAATACAAAATTATAAACGATGCCTAGGAATGTTAATAAACGGCAAAAGTGTAAAATTATGGAACATGTAAAAAACGGTTTTTTGTTTTTTTTTACAATAACTTTTTTAGCAATAAACGCATAAAAAATTCCTTCCTTGGTGCAAGCCTCGACACCATAACGAACCAAATAGCGAAAAAAGTAGAACAATAGCTCTTAAGATAAAGAACTAGCACCGTCTCAAAGAACGAGCGGACGGACGGACGGACGGACGGACGGACGGACGGACAAAGTGGCCACAATAGTGCATTTTTTTTATTTTTGTGGAAATAAAAATAAGGATCTCAAACGTGAGAGCTACGACATTTTAGTGAGAAAGTGTAGAGAATATGTACACGATGTCGATCGGGAATTTGTAAAGAACAAAATCAACTCATTACGTACCAGCACAGATTTAAATCTGTGGTACCAGTTTTAGAAAAGAGTATAAAAAGTATTTAAAATCGAAGGAAGATTGTAATACCGAGACATATGTCCCCAAGCTATGGTATTACACTCTCGATTTCACTTATGTTTATGTTCTAAGACTTGATGCCATTTATATTTTTAATCTTAGATGCCCAAATTATCTTGTTAAAATAATTGCACAGCTGCGTCTTTGTACAAAAAACTACATCAAACTTTCAGATAAACGTAACATACATAAAATCAGTCAGGAGGAAATCTGCTCAATATGTAACCTTAACCAACGTGAAACTATAGAACACTTATTTTTTCAATGCCCATTCTACAGTCATATTCGTTCAAGCTACCTAGAAGAGATAAACTCCCTGGTTGAGCTGGCCAATGCTCTGGAGTCGGACTCATATAACATACTCTTTTCGATGGGTGGTTTTGTCACCTCTATGTTGAGAGCGCGATCATTCCTATTAAATGAGTAATTTTTTTTTTATATAATTTGTAAAACCACAATGATTCAACTTTTTTTTTTCTCTCATGTCTCATAATTATCTTAATATCTTTATTTTTTTTTGTTAAATTGTTTTCGTTAAAGTATTACGCACTGTTTTAGCACGTTTGTACCCTTGTAATAGGAAATTATAATCCTTTAGATACAATAAAAGAAATAATAAATAAATAAAATAATAATAATATTTTTAACAGTACCTATAAATAAAAAAACAGGAAATTTTGTATTATTTTCTAAACACTCATTGGAATATATTAATATTTAAATTATGCATTAAATTATATTTAGCAAAAACGATTTGGACTTATATGATCGCTTATATCAAATTTATTCCAAATTTTGCATGGACTTAAAAAATAGGGCATCCCATTTAAAATTCAGTGTAAATCAACTGCTGATATAACAGAAAGTAGAATAAAATTATAAATTTAGTAATATTTAGTTCAAAATTTGTACGTAGTATATGCTGTGCTCAACCTGTTTACGCCGATTCTCGTCGTCTTCTAATAAATGTAACTTTCGGGGATGCTTTGAAATCTTATGAGATCGTCGGAGATTCAGGAAATCCGTCATATCCAGGGAGATCCTTAAAACCTCCTAACTTGTACGGCGAAAACTCTACACCGTTTGTCCCTCGAGCTTGTCTGAATGTAGGTACCTTAACAGTGCCGGTTTACCGGTTAGGCACGGTAGGCACGTGCCTAGGGGCGCCTACCATTTAGGGGCGCCAGCCGCCAGTGGGCAGTGTACCACCAGGTATCGTACGCCATGAGCAGTACGCACACTGAATGGAAATTCCCATAACGATGTGCTTACGACTTTTTAAATTTAATTCCTTAGTGTTGTATCATTTTTTACGACAAAGATTATAATCTTTGTCGTAAAAATGATACAACACTAAGGAATTAAATTTAACAGTAATTACACATTCATTTTGAAATGTGTACATTTACCTACTATATAACAGGATATGAAAACTGAGAAGCTGCAATTTTTGTATCAAATTGATATGGTAATCTCAGAGCTCTACTATGAACTTTTGAAATTCTCTCGGCAGAGTCAGACTTAATGAATTGGCACTTCTACACATGAATAGTGATACTGATATATTAGACCGCATAAATGTTGACGAAATTTTGGATAAATTTGCTTCACAAAAGGCTAGAAAAAAAACTATGACTTTTGTCATAGTGTCGGGTGGGCGCTTAAAGGGCTGTGCCTAGGGGACAAAATGTTCCTATACTGGCACTGGGTACCTTATTGAGGAATTTGATTTGATTTATACCAATTTTAACCAATCGTTTCGCTACAACTAAATTCCGTGCATTGTACGGTGGCGCCACCAGGGGGTGGGCCGGACGGGCCCTGACTCACCAGTAGGGTAGCTCGACCCTCCCTTTAAAAAATGATCAGCGCTCTCATGAGGAGTTTGCGAATTGCGCCGTGAATGCGGTCCGCAGATTGTTTCAATTTTTTCCCATTTCTTAAAATATTCCATTAAATTCATTTTGTTTTGGTACCTCATATATATTCATAGTCAATGGATGTGTTGGTATAGAATAAGATGGGCTAAAGTACGCATGATTTCTGCATCACTTATTATACCTACGAGTACTTTGCTATCTACTGTATTACATTCAATAACACGCTATTGATGCTTGGTTATAATAATACATAGATATGCGTATTTACTTAGTTGTACCTACTATATAAAGTACCTCATTTTTTCATCAATTAATTGCTCCATTTTTCCATGTTATTTTTTGAAATAAAGACGACAAGGAATTTCAAAATGCATTAAAGACTTTCATACATTTACATTCAGAAAATAGCTATACATAGTGTTCTGACAAATATGGGCGTGGCTAGCTTACAAATTTGGGGGTGTTAAAAAGTTCCAAGAAAATTTGGATACATAATCCATGTCTAGCGAATTATGGTCCAACCTTTGAATAAATTCATATTGGTCCCAGGCCGGCCTACCCATTGAAATATTTGTAGCGACGCCACTGGCATTGATGACACTTCATAATTTGCGTTCTGTCAGACTCGTTCCTCTGCTTTCCAACTCGTTGGAATAACTCTAGAATAAACGTACAAGCAAGATGGCCAAACAATTGGTCAATGGTCGATTAGAGGTTAATCATTAATAGATTTTATTAATTACGTGTTTCAACTGCGCAAATTACAATAGATTACATAAGATAATACAAACTGGGATAAAAGAGGTTTCCTTTTAAACGTGGCGTGTGTCGACGAAGACCCTTAAGACATTCAGTTAAGCTTGCACACATAAATTTGTACAAAATTGTCCAACAATATGGATGTTTTAACACTACACGAGAAATTTATCCGCGAATTAATAAGTTTGTATCGCGAACTACCAGCAGTGTGGAAAGTGAAGAGCATCGAATATAAAAATAAGGACCTCAAACGTGAGAGCTACGACATTTTAGTGAGAAAGTGTAGAGAATATGTACACGATGCCGATAGGGAATTTGTAAAGAACAAAATCAACTCATTACGTACCAGTTTTAGAAAAGAGTATAAAAAGTATTTAAAATCGAAGGAAGATTGTAATACCGAGACATATGTCCCCAGGCTATGGTATTACAATCTATTATTATTTACAGTCCAAGACTCTGATGATCAAGAAGACGATTCCTTGACTATGAATGAAGAACCAGGATTTTTTGTAAGTTTTAATCTTCCATTTTTATTTGGCAGCTTTGTTCCCTTGTAGGACCTCAAAAGTGAACCAGGTTCTCCACATATACCACTAACAGAAGATAATGATCCACTTTCAACACATGTGGCAAAGAAATCATTCCATGTGGATATAACTCCAGTTGAAGATGTATACGACGCGATTGGGAAAAACGTTGCTCACAAATTAAGAGGAATGTCACAGCAGCAACGTATAATTGCGGAGAAAATAATCGGCGATGTTATGTATTACGGACAAATGGAGAGTTTAACTCCAGATTCACATCTAACATTTCAAAGTGAAAAATAAAAACAGTTTTCATAACGTGGTTTATTTAATTACTGTATACATTTAAAACTATATCACCATTTAGCTCTTTTGCCCCAGTCTTTTGGAGTCCAATGTAGACACTTTGAATCTATTCGTATTAACCGTTTTTCCATAGCTGCCATGTGGTTTCCTAATATTTCCTTATTCAATGTAATTATGTACTGGCCTTTGTAGTAGTTTATTAAATTTAAGTTCTGCAATGTCGATATAACATCTTCTTTTTTAATACTGGTCAATTCGCACATTTCACTTAAAATTGTTGATTAATTATGGAAGGAATGTATACCTATTTCTCACAACTTTTTTTCATAACATTGGTCTTGGAAGATTTCCATTTGTGTTTGTGTTCTAAGAACTTGATGCCATTTATATTTTTAACAGTATAGATTAAAAAAATGGGAAATCATGTATTATTTTCTAAACACTCGTGGAATATAATAATATTTAAATTATGCACTAATTAAAAAAAACGATTTGGACTTACATGATCGCTTATATCAATTTTTACATGACATTAAAAAATAGGGCATCCCATTTAAAATAAAGTGTAAATCAACTTCTGATATAACAGAAAGTAGTATAAGATTAAAAATATTAGGGGCTCATTAAATTAACCCATAGGTACAAATTTTCAGAAATATGTTAGAATTAGTTTCTCATATGGTGTGTATCGGGCAAATGTAATAAATTAGATAATACATAAATGGGGGCGTGTTTATAAAATGCTTGGACATCTATTGGTATTTTCTTCAATTAAAACTTTAACCTAGAGACCATCACAATGGCATAAAACGTATAACACGGATAGATTCCTTTAATGAAACATTCGATAAGGCTAACCCATATGAAAAAATGTTGTGAAGGGAATGTCGAGTTTGAAACTTACTTAATAGTTATTTGTGGTTTTTCATTTTCACCTACAGGAGTTAAGGAAGTTAGAATCTCCAATATAGTATGAGACCAATAGCTTCTGTATGACAACAGACCTAAATCCGAAAGCGGTTTTTCTGGTGATCCGGTCTTACCTTCAAATTTTGAAAGTTCATAGCCTTAAATTGATTATTCAAGTTTAATATAAACACATGATACAACTTACTAAATTCGATAAGTAACTTGCCGTAACCTTTCCGTTGATACGGGGGCATTGTCAATATACAAGCTACATTGTAATCTTCCGTAGATTCTTTTTCCTTTGAAAAATAGCCCACAATGTGAAATCCTCGATTATCGAATACGGTCATTACGTAAAATAAAAACGGATCGGTATCATAATATAAAGTTTTATGATCTAAAAATAATTTTGCTAATAAACATAAATTCTGTGCGTAGCTCTTATTCTTTCGTCCATCTATTTCAAAGAATGTAATGTTTCCTTTACGATAAATCTCATTACCCGGTGGATGCCTTAAATTACATTTAGCCAAGTGCCTCTCCAAACACTTCCGACTTTTTCTATACTTCAAGCAAAATTCGCAGATATAAATACACTGTAAACCGATCATTTCCTACAAGAAACCATGTTTATTATAATGCAACCAAGTGGCGAATAATACTTGAGGATAAGGCGCGAAATACCACGGCTTTATTCTATGTCTGCCTAGTTCGATCATTTCAACATTCTTCATTCGTGTGACGACATCATCATGATGTGCAACCATACTGCCTGACTGACGTGGACCAGGCGAAGGTTGTTGGGACAATGGGGCATCCTGAGAATCTTCGCTTTCTAAGGATGGACCTTTTCTCTTCCGGTTCATGCGTTTCTGCAAAGCAGCCGCAAGTACCGCACTGCCGTTGATAAGCTCTGTGGGTTGTTGGACAGGGCTCGATGGCCTATAATGAAATTTACATGTTGTTAGAATTCCTCCTCCCAACTAGGTACTCAAAATCAGTTCAAGAATTGTATTACATAATTCACCTAGGCTGTACTTTAAATCTTATTGATTCTTCACTTGGTAATTAAGACAAAAGTACTAGACCCAACGTCATTAAACAATCTACTACCTTGATATTGGTCCACCTGCACCTATGTGAATTTTCTTTGGCGTTGACACGCCACTAGCAGCAGCAGTGTTACTGCCTCCATCACGTCGAGGAAAATGTACTTTGCGAGTATCTAAAGACTCTTCTCCGACCCATTCATCTAATCGCTTATTAACTGCAACAAACCACTATCACTTTAAACTAAAACACATAGTCGGACTCACAATCAACATAATGTACATAGTAAACCCTGTGTCCGCCTATTCCAACGTCTTTAATACTGACAAGTTCTGCCAAAGCTGCAATTACCATTCGATTAATACAGTTAGCAGAAGGTGATCGTACTTACGCCAGTCGTCTGTCCCCGACATGTGAACGGGTAATCTGCATCCTTCCACAAGAGAAGACTGTTTAAAATTTTGAGGTTAATGTCAACAATCGTTCACATTTAATTATTTCTACATACCACAGAATCACATATTGTATAGTCATCGATGTCTTCCATTTCTATTTTCATCGATACTGAAGAGACTTAACTATTCAATGATCTCAAAAAGTGATAAAGGCAGTTCACCTTTTTACTGGGATGATTGATGGGGAAAGTAAACAAAAGACTTGTATCATAGAAGTGTCTCTGGTACAGCCTTGCTGTAGCCGAACTCCAGTGTCTCTGGTAGTCTACATTGCAAGGCTAGTGTACACAAGTGGTCTGTGTATACAGTTGCAGCGAACTCACAAAAAACAACACCGCCTATCAGTGTTTCTGCATATTTAATATAATTTGATTGGAAATATTTGTGTGATAAGATCTTTATCAACAACTTGAAATGGAAGGTGCATAAGGTGTGGCATTAATTGTCGGTGTCCTAATCTACCTTTTTTACACGTTATTTTTTTGTGTACGAGATGAAGAATATATCTAAGATTTAGGTCTGTAAGACAGTTAAGAAAAAAGCGAATTAACATCGCTGAAGGGAAACTTAATAACCGAGCCAGCGACCTTACAAGCCAGAATGAAAAAGAAATTCGTCTGGCTCAGATAACCGTCCTCTAATAACTAATAAAGGTTGGTTCATAGCTGTCCGTTCATCCGTTGCGTTGATCCGTCAAACGGATAGAAAATGTTGTTAAGGTTCATAGCAATCCGTCCACATTGTACATTTGCAAGTATAATCATAACCTAAACTTTATTTTGTACTGTACCGTCAATGATTTTCAGTATGTAAAAATGGTACGAAAGTAAGAACACATTGCTATCTGGCATATTACCGTGAAGAACGAGTAGGCGAACGCTGTTAACGTACCTACCAAACATAACCTCACTCTTGTTAAAAACGGACCAACGGAAACGTAAATGTTCAACTTCAACCAACTTTTCCGTCGTAAACGGACGACGTACGATTTAAAAATTTGCTGTCTTCTGATTGGCTAACGGACAAACGGAAACGTATGAACGGAGAGCTATGAACTTACCTTAAGTCTAATTTGGTCGGGTATTAAGTAAAAAGGTTTCAGGAAGTTTTTTTCTTTGTTGTACGGATAAAATTAATTTTGGTACCCAGACATGTTATTTTTCAGGGAAAAGAAGCCTGCATTATTGAAGGTAGTGGTGATAGGAACTTGTGGGATGTTCAGGCGTAGAAGTTTGCAAAGACGTATTGAGGAAAAGTTTGTAGACTGTTTTTTGCTATTAAAATTTAATTAGGATGTTGATTATAGGATTAATTATAGGGGTAGTTAGTGAAGACCACTAATATAAGTTTGAATCTGGTAATAATACTCTCACTTTGGACACAGAAAGGTCGATTAACATTGGTTCAATGTCGAATAATGGAAGAATAATGTTGTCCAAAGCTGTGGTGAGCACATGCAAAAAGGAAAACTAGCATGTCAATAAATAGTGCTGCAATGTTGCATTTATTCTGAAAACTCACAATATCACGTGATCTTTGAATGATTTTTAAACGTAATTTAACATTCAGACCAGCTAAACACTTGAATTGTTAGGTACTCTATTTGTAAGTAAAGATTCCGTCAAGCCAATCGCCTAACGAAATGAGTATTATAAGTGTAGGAACACAGTCTTAACATAAAACAACAACGAAACGGATTTGCAATTTATTGGCTTTGCGGATAATTCCACGGATTCGGATATTGTTGTGCCCATATGTTGGTCATACCGAACAAATCGTACGCCTGATTATGCTGCATTCGCTGAAATTTGTACCAAATGAAAATAAACGACTAAAGCTAGAACGATTATTACTTCGTCAAGCTCACGGTTGCTGCTAAAACCTGGAGGTGCTCGTGTCGGCGTCCTCTCTGCAGGCGCCCAAGGTTGCCATACAGATGATGAACCCCATAAATAACTACACCCGGGATTCGTCAATGGCGTTGGGACCGTCTCGTTAAGTGAGCCATGGGAAGGAGTACCATCCCAGTATCCATTCGTGTCGGCACTTTGAATACTTTGGCTCCATGAATCTGGCACTTTATAATTAAATAGTTAATTTTATTAGTCAGTTATCATATTAGCCAGGTTGCGGACAGCATTTTCCGTTATGTTAGACGGCCATTTTTTCTTATAACATAAGAAATATAAATTTTTGTAGAAATAATTTACGGTATGAGGCTTTTTGTACGATATATTTATAAATAGCGGAACCAATGAAAATGAAGTTCTTATAATGTGTCACTGCGCAGTACGTAATCACTCATAAATAACATTTTCCTGCTAACCTACAATTGTGCAGTTTATGTTGGCGGTAGTTCTTTTCTTTTTGACTAAGAGCCTAGTAGTGAACTTTGGACATTTTAACACAATGTAAAATAAAAGTGAGGTTAAGACTCCTTCAAACTTATAAGCAAAATTGAACACGCCCAGCACACACCGCAACTTAACTTTGCTATAAAAATGTTTTATACTTATAAACTTATATTATAAGGAAAAATGGCCGTCTAACATAACGGAAAATACTGTCCGCAACCTGGCTATTGTGTTGCATAGATCACAGAAGTGGAAAAATGTAGGGCCAGGACTGTCATATTCGATTAGTAGTTATTTAAGTTCTCCATAATTAATAAGCATTGTACTCGAGAAACTAACTAGTGCTTAGCCTAATCCATTGATGAAAGTTAGCCAAGAAAGTAGTAGCAGTAGTAGAGTCAACCATTGAATTTATAACTATCAGAAGCGCGGGTTAAATGGCAGGATATGTGACTGTTTTCAATAGTTTAAATTACAAGATGTAGATGTCTCTACCATCGAGAAAGATGAATAATGATGTCAGTTTTTTACCTTTTTTTACCACGATCTCGAATTGTAATTGTTGCATACAGAATTCTAGATACTCAAGAAACGTATTTATAAGGCATTTATGTGGCACACAGGATGTTGAATGACGCAAGATAAACATTCTTCCTTTCATGAATCTGGCCTACTTAACATTCCTTAAGGCAGATTGAATTACATTTGAACAGGAGAGCAAAAAATACGTAGGCATCCTTGATCACTGTAACAGAAATTAAATGTACCTACCTATCTTTTCTTAATTTTTGTGTGTGTCGGTTAAACTACCTAGGACAGGGGTCGGCAACCTATTGAAAGGAAAAAGCCAAAAATTACAATTTACAAAATTTCTTAGTTTTTAAAGAGCCACAAAAAATTTTTGATTCAATATTATAGTTTTTGGCTATATACAGGGTCCTGTAACAGTGCGTCGGTTTTTCCTGCATAGCTGATATCTGGTAACAAATATTGGTGGTTGCGGATCTACAGAAATTATTTTTGACTGTAGGTACAGGGTGTTCCATTTTTACGATGTCAATTAATAACTGATCTTTTTAAATTGAACATCCTACATATTTTTACTTGTTTCAATGCCATTTGTTCAAAGTGCTATAACTATTCTTTTTCAAATGGAACTACCACTATTTTATTTCGCTATTCGATTGTCTTTTGTGTTATCTTCAATGTTGATAAGGGGTGCCCTGTGTTTAAACCCTGCAGTTTTTATGTTACTCTATATTTTTCACAAAAGTATACCTACTCATTAATTAATTACGTGTTTATACATCGGAGTAGGCTGGCTAACGTACACTACTAACCGGCGATTTCCTAACCGGCAATGACCAAAACGGCAACGACTAGCCGGCGCTACACCAAACTGGCGCTCGTTCAACCGGCGTTATGCCTTGCCGGCGCTAGTTCCGCCGGATGCTTTCCTATTTATGTGGGTTGGTTTAATCACAGATCTACACATACACAGATTGCTAACCTTATGCATTTTTTGGGAAACAAATTTAGGTATACTTAAAAGCGCCCTCTATTGCGGAGCAGTATAAACATGTATCGTTTAAAACTGTAATATGACGCTTATGGATTTATGGGTTAGATGTCGCTGAAACAACATTAAAGTTTGCACAATTCGAATTCCTTTAATATTCGTATTATTACAGTGGTATGATATGATAGGAGGTACGTTGAGCCATAATTGTTTAATTTAACACTGGAGCTACTCATTCGTCGTAAGGGAGTTATTAAAAGCCTGTGGTCACAGATACACACGAACATAGGGCAGGTTCTTAAAGAATCGTGAAGGTTTTTTGAAGTTGGCGGAAACTATTTGCGGCTTTAAAGGTCTTGACAGATTACTAACCGCAAAGGCATACTTGAAAACTATGTATATCTCTGCCATCATTAACGTTACACTCTTTACCACGTCGATAAGATATAAGATAGGGAGGTTATTTTCGAAAAGTTGATAGTTTTCCAGTTGTAAGCACAAAACTGCTAAAAAAATATCCTTTTCAACTTTTTTTGTATTTTTTTCAATGTTGCGTCATGAAATTTTGTTAGCAAAGCTCGGATTCGGATTGGGCACCCCAAAAAAACATATAGAATCAAAGAAATCAAAACTACCCCACAACTTTCCTGGTAAAAATACAATTAAACTGGATTATATGCACATTTTACCGCTTTAAATTTTTTGCAGCGACATCTAACGCATAAATCCATAAGCGTCATATTACAGTTTTAAACGGTACATGTTTATACTGCTCCGCAATAGAGGGCGCTTTTAAGTATACCTAAATATGTTTCCCAAAAAATGCATAAGGTTAGCAATCTGTGTATGTGTAGATCTGTGGTTTAATACAACGCAGAGTATCAACCTATTAAAATATTAAAAGTTACAATCAATGTCAATGCCGACTGAAAAGTTATATGTAAAGGGTGATCAAATAAGAGCTTCCCAAAGTTTTTTTGAAATAAAACGCATTAAATTCAATTTAATAATAAAAAATTGTATTTGATACGTAAGTTCGGTTCATGACATTTCATGTTTAAAGTAATTTGTTTTAAATGTTGACCGTGACTGACTCGTAGATGGTCCATTCTATGGGTCCAGTTTTCAAGCGCTCTTTCGAGCATTCATTAATTACACGTGTTATGTTCGCTTCTAATGCAGGAATAGTTTGTGGTTTATCGGCATAAGCAAGTGATATCCCATAAAAAGTAATCTAACGGCGTTTGATCACATGATCTTGGTGGACAATTCACTGGTCATTTCTGGATATGATGTTCTTATCAAAAGTTTCTTTCAATAAATCGATGATTTCGTGTATGGCACTTTGCACCTGCTTGTTGAAACCATAAGTCGGCTACATCAATATCTTGAATTTTTGGCAACAATTTTTTCATTGTGCGTTCAGTCGGACGATTATGAGCACCATAAAATGGTTGAAGAGCACGAAAAACATTTCTCACTGAACACTGATTTTGGAAATATATTTCCACGATTTGTAATCGGTGTTCTGATGTAAGTCTATTCATGGTGAAATGTCAACTAATAATGAACAAAAAACACATATGCACATGACAACTATCATGATTAAAGTGTTTTAAAATCCATATTGGAAAAAGTACTTCGTATTTGATCACCCGTTACTTAGTTCATCTGATTCCTCTTGTTTGACCCTTTTAAAATTATAGTTAAAGTTAATTTGAGAATTACATCAACATGTCCATATTATAGCCATCCATGTTATTCCAAATGTGTATGAAACATAATTTGCAGATCGCATCGATGAAGTGCCCATATGCCGGCTTTACACGCGCCGGTATGACCGAGCGCCAGCTTTACAAGCGCCGGTGTGACCGAGTGCCGACTAGACAAGCGCCGGCATGCCCGAGCGCAGGCTTTGCATGTCGCCGGCTTGGTGCGGCGCACAGTGGTCCGGTTTTTAAAAAAGGTGGACTTAGGAACGAAAGTGACAATTTCGCTCGGAAAAAAATTTTTTCCTATGGAAAATTCAATTCTGATTAACATTTGTTCAGTACAATTTTTCATATAAATGCGTCGTTCACACATAAAAAAATATTGAAGATAAATATGGATGGGGGGAAAACAATTATATTAATTTTCTCCGTCCGGTATCAAAGTATAGCAGTCAAACCTTATGTTCTTGTAAGAACATATAGTCCTTAACACCACGACATAAAAACTTCTTGCGTATCCTTGCGGCCTTGGTGCCTACATGACTTGAAATATTTAAAATTTTACTTGTGGTTTTTTGTATACTTTTCACGAGCGTTTACTGTAGAATATTATATTTTAGTATCTCGAAACACACAAGAAAAACTTAAGTCACACATCATTTTGCGCACACATTATTTTTATTTATTTTAAAATCATTTTTACCACACGTTAGTAAGGGATTGCATTGGGGTAAAAATGACCCCTCATTTTTTTAGAAAAATACAAATTTTGAAGCACCAGTAATTCGAATCAAACAAAATTTCGATGATGTCGGTCTGTGATCGGTGTCGGTTGGTTCGCCCCCTCCCCCCCATTAAAAAAATTTTACTTGGCACCACTAACGACATGCGTATGCAAAATCTGAGACCAATTGGTTGCCGTATGTAAAAGTTATGCACGTTTTACTGTCAAAAACAGCATGTCAGAAAATAATTCGTGCCCCCCCCCCCTATGACCCTATGACAGCGAAATGTGATGGCCGTCGGGCACACCTTCAAGGCTACCTATTGCAAAAAAATCCAGGACTGTAGAACCATTTCCCCTGAAGTAGTTCAAAACGGCAAAAGTGGGTCCTGATGGACGGACGGACGGACAGCTGGACGGACGAACAAAACGCAAACAATAGCACATTTTTCTAATTCTTAAAAAAAATGTTTTGGATGTTAATCAGATGTAGGTATCCACGCATACTACTTCATTGAAAAACCATAACTTCCCTTATCGATTGGCTACTAATAGCGGTACTATTATTCAGTTAAAATTAATTCAAGTGTAACCGCATGGAAACTGCTTGTCACCGCGTTTTTCGACCATCAAAAAGCGACTATGTGATCCCGCGTTGCCGTTGTTTTGGTAGCGTCTACGTTAAAAGTCAATACATCATAGAAAAACAATAGCCATTCATCTGTCAAAATTAGTACTTAATTACTTGTTTATCGGTAACCATTGTAT